TTGTAATGGAAGATGCACTAATTTGATGCCTATTTAGAGATTAGAGAGCTGGAGAAAGAGAGGAGGGAGTTCAAAATATAGAGAGGAAAAAAAGATGGCTTCTTCTTAACGGAGACAGGGGTATACACTCGATATACAGTCAGTATACATTCTATATACACTAGAGATACTCTCGATATACACTGGATATACACGGACAGCCAACGAAAAGAGGGTCTTCTTCCTCCTCAAAATTCTACATCTAGAGCTTAACATCCACCATGAAAGAGCCATGAGATATCATCTTANAGCTCATCTTCTCCACCTGAAAAACACCCCATAAAACGCCCCAAATAGTCCACTTCCAAAACTGTTCCGGCGAGTTTCGAGGTCGTCGAAGAACGTAGTTCTGAGGTTTCCGGTTCGAGGTCTCGATTTTGCTTGCGGTTCCTGTTTGACTTTGCCGCTGTTGTTTTGTTTGAATTTGGAAGATAAGGTCAGATCCTATTTTCTAGCACTTTGATAATACTACTATATCAGTGTTGATCTTCTCAGCTAGTTTGGTTATTGTTGATTTTGCATCCCTGTATTTGTTTGACGTAAAATATTTTATTATCTTTGGTTAGTTGAAAAGTATTGCTATTTATATCATTGTGTCCTTTAGATGTGTTTTAATGATGTGTTGTATGTAGTTGTCAAATTAGTGTCTTTATTTATTATATTAGCTGTTAACTTTAAAGATGCCTGAATAATGTGTTGTATCGTATATCTACTTGTGAAATGGTCATGTTTCATATTATTAAATCCTATGAATATTCTCACGATATTTTGTCAATAAAGAATTTAATATCTTTTGATCTCTTCTATTTTGGTTTCACCTGAACCTATGTCAAACAATTTTGATATGCTTGTTTTCTGCACATATTGGAGCAAATGTTTACTTTAGCAGTAATGTACCGCAGATGTATCCACAATAGTTCTCCTATTGAAGATGGTTTTCCACAATATATTTTGTTCATAATCCATAGTCCGCATATAACTAATTTTAATCCTTTAGAAATCGAGGCGTGCCATTAGTTGAATTTTCCATGGCCCTCGCAAATTTGAAAGTGCGTAGTTGCTTTAGGCGCGTTATTTTAATAATTTATCTTCCTAAACTCGGGTGCGCATTTATGTGACCCAAATCTAAATCTCAACAATGTTGGATAAAATACGTCATGGACCGCGGGTGCATTTATGTGACAGGGTTCAAGACGTGTTTTAGATGACGTTGAATTTTTCTTAAAAAATTAAATAAAGAAAAGCGATTTAAGTTAAAATTTGCACATAGGTTTAAACATGTACTAAAATCAGATAGTAGGCCAATTATAACAGTTGAGCGACCGTGCTAGAATCACGGAACTCGGGAATGCCTAACACCTTCTCCCGGGTTAACAGAATTCCTTACCCGGATTTATGTGGTCGCAGACTGTAATACAGAGTCAATCTTTTCCTCGATTCGGGATTTGAACCGGTGACTTGAGACACCATTAATTATCCCAAGTGGCGACTCTAAATTTTAATTAAAATAATCCCGTTTCGATTATCACTTAAATTGAAAAAAAAAACTCCCTTTATTATACCCTCCCCGGGGTGTAGGTGAAAAAGGAGGTGTGACATGGGGTATTAGAGGGGAGGTCAATAGGGTGATCATTCGTGGGGGGCATGATATTGGGTAGGGTAGTACTATAGGTGGTATTAGGGTTTGATTGGGTGGGGGGATGGTGGGTGTAGCTGATAGGGGATGGTGTTGCGTGTGAGGGGTGTAACGTGGGCCCATAGTGGTATTAAGTTTACCATCAATATTGTCCTTTCCGGGTATAAACGTGGTAATATTATTGTTATTAACGGTTTTGATATTTTGGTTTATTGGAATATTATTGTAATTAATATTATTAGTAGTGGTAATGTTAATATCTTTACTATCATTATTAGAAAGATTATCGTCTAAATTGTTTTGTTTCAACAATAGGAAGTTGTTCGAGTTTTTGGTAGGGATAATGGGGGAGGTTGTTTTACCATTGATGGATGATTGTAAGAGGTGATTTCTAGTTTTGTAACAAAATTTTTGAGAGGAGAGGAACTTACCAGACTTGGCTTCGAAAATGTTAACGCTTATACCTGGATCTTGCGTATTCTCTGGCAATTTGGAAGTCCTTTTGGGGGGATCCCTTCGTTTGTTCCTATTGAAAGGTACTGTGTGCCATATTTCTTCTAGCTTTGTATGTCCCATTTGTGGTGTTTCCAGGTCCTTGCTTGGTAATTCCTGCTTTTGCATGGTTTTTGGATGGTGGCACTGTGATTTCGTATGGCCTAAATGACCACAGAATGTGCATAGAAGTTTGTCACCTTCGTAGTGAATAAGTTGTTTATGAGAACCTATGAAGAGGAAAGGGGTGACAAGTTTATTTAGGGGAAGTTCCACACAGAGGTGGGCGTATCTCCCTCGGAGGGCAACCAACGTACAAACATCAACTTTTAGGAGCCTTCCTACTTTTTGTAGAATTTCTTCGTCATAAAATTCAATGGGGAGCTGGGGAAGTCTAATCCAGATTGCCGTATAAGATTGAGTTGCTTTGGACGCTACAAAGTTTGGAATCCATCTTTGCACTGAGAGGAAGTGACCATAGAGGAACCATGGACCCTTTTGGAATACATTAACCATGTTTTCTTCTTTGATAAAACGAACAATATAGTAGTCCTCCCCTAGATCAATTAATGGGAAGTTTTCTGAAGGTTTCCACAGGTCCATTAATTTCTTTTTCAACAGATCGTGTGTGATTCTTTTCCCTTGTAATTTTATAATAAGAGAGAATCTCTAGGGATGGTAGATTCGTTGTTTATCTTCACTTGTGATAGGTACAGAGATGTTGTGTTCCTGGGGAGGGCTTTTTAGCTCGAGTGGGTTCTCTGAATCATAGTGGCACTCCATTTGGGTTTGGTGGCTTAAGCTTGGTTCTGTAATAAAGTCTATGTCTTTGTTAAGGAGCTTATCCTTGAAGGAGATGGTTTCCATTGTCTTAGTATTGATCTCCATGGAACTAGTGGTAGGGAGTATATCCGGTGGTTTAGGCAGGATTACTGAGGAGTTGGGAGTTTGAGACATTGAGAAGCAGATTCTAAGATAAGTTAATGAAACGTCTCGTTTCAACTTGAAAGCTAGGCACTCTATTTTTGGTGGAGTTCAAGTGTTCAACGAGAATTAGAGTCTTTTAATGAAAAGAAAATTGGTCGAGTCCTATTGTTTTGGGCTTAGGCAATCTTTTAAGATATAAAAAGATAAATCAAAATTCAAAATAACAATTAAAATGCATAAAATATTTAAAATTATTTACAAAAGATATTATATTGTATATAAATGATTATTAAATTTTGTATATAATTAGTTAGTTTGGTTCGGTTTATTTTTCGATTTTTTAAAATATAACCAAAACCAAACCAAATATTATCGGTTTTTAAATTTAAAACCAAAACCAATTCAAATCAAGAAAAATATCGGTTTACTTAATCGGTTTGATTCGGTTTTCGGTTTAGATTCGGTTTTCGGTTTAGATCAGTTTCCCGTCAAACCGTGAATACCCCTATGTATAATTATCTCCAATTTTAATCCAAAACGTCGATAATTTGAATCCCATGGGAAGTTTGTACAATTATCTCCAATTTTAATCCAAAAGGAACCTTAATCCTTTCCCCCCGAAAAGGAACCTTACTATATTTGCTTAAAAAAATATCTCCTTTAATACATCAGGTTTCTTCTTGCATTTATAATTGACAAAGGAAAATCTGATTTAGATGCCAAAAAGAGAAAAATAAAAACACATCAAAATAGAAATGCAAAATTGGATTATTTTTGCAGTCAAGGTTACTGTTTACTAAACAAGGTAGAAAGTAAAACCGAAGAAGCAGAGCAATAGAGTCGGGTTACTATTTACTAAAATGAACATGAAAAGGAAGCGAGGGGATATGGAGATAGTGTGGCAAACTCCCGCCAACCCACCGGAACGCCATGACTACATCTTCCGCAATGGTAAGTTTCTTCAGCTTTGCCTCGTATCCAACTTCTGATACCTATTGCGTTGTCTTTTCTCTGCAACAAACTTTTTATGCTTTTATGTTCTGCTTCTGCAGGAATACGCTATGTCAGACCTTACTACTTCGAATTCATTTCTCATGTATGAGCTACTACTCTCTTTGTTTATCTGCCTATTTAACAGATGCTGATTGATTGAATTGGCCATTTTCTTAATGAATTTGTCAAAACCCTAATTAAACCCTGTATATGAATTTAAATTTGGTTTGAATTCATTTTTCAGGTGAAGAACCGGTGGGCTGGGAAGACAATTGTTGATCTCTTCTCTGAAGAATTTAAAGGGAGACCTCGTGATTACTATGTATGTTGTTTCTAATCGTTAAGTAGTACATTTGTTGTGTATGTATTTCCTTCTCTTTTGGTTGTTTGTCTATCTGTTTTTTGATTTATTTTATGTGTTGTCTAATATGCATGTTAGGTCATAAATGAATAGTTGCAATTGTACTGATGTAAATGGTTTGATATATGTTACATTCAGACAGGCCTAACTGTGATTTTAGTTTTTTGAATTGGAAATTCTGTGAAGTTGAATTATTAGAGTGATGATAGCATATTTTTATAGCCTACCCTGATTGTTCGAGCACATTCTTGGTTGTCTTAAATACCTACTAGACGTTCGCTAGTGTACAACTGTATAGTGCAGAGGCTGATTTAGATGACTTATCTAGGAATCCGCTGTTAAATCTGGACGTATACAAGTTGATGGACAAAAGGTGCATCTTTCATATGTAGTGCAGTCATCACAAAAGATTAGCCATTTCTTGCACAGGTTTGTACTTATTCAAATTCTGGCCTCAAACATTTAGTTTAGCGATATTTCCTTCTGCTTGGTATTTCTGTGGTCAATCCTTCAATAGATTTTGGTTTCTTGATTTAGCATGTGTTAGTGATGGATCATAGACTAAGCATCTGATTTGACATTCTCTAATCCTGTTCTGTTATGCAATTATGAGAACATGACTTACAAAAGGCTGTAGGCATGAACCACCAGTGATGTCGTGGGATGTCGAAATACTATGTGAAGAACCAGACGTGCTGACAGTGTGCAAGCCTGCATCTGTTCCAGTAAGATAATAATGATTTCAATCTTTATATATTTGTTTCTTGAGAAAGTGCTATGTTAAGATTGTGTGGAATATGTTAAGATTGATTTGTTTGGAAGTTTGGGAAAGAACCAGCACTTATTGATGTTATAAATCCGGTCACCTTCTGTGGACAGATAATGTAGTACCACCATTAGATCCATCATGCCATTATTCAAGCACACATAAGAATCTAGCAATCCTGAAGGTAAAGTGGAACAATTAGCTGGCATACTGTGAATCTAGCATGCCCTCTTCATGAACTTTTTCTTTTTTCTGTTATAAATAAAGTTTTACATAATTATGATTTAATTTTGTGTTTAGATCTGATAATACAATATTGACCAAAAAGAACAATGGTAAGCTGTTATCGATGGTTCACCGCATGTCTCTTATATTTTTGAATATGTAAGGCACAAAATCATGCATTTATACACAATGTTGTATAATTTTTGGTTAAGGAACTCACTTTTATATATTTCCATTGTTATTTTCTCTTCTCTCGGTTTGGTTCACTGATTCTTTATCTAATACTCGTGTAGTTCCCATGGTAGCATAACTCGAAACTTCATTTATCAAGATGATTATAATAAACCTAATACGGTGAACCCTCAGCAGAATATAGTAAGAAGTAGGAGAAAAGGTGAACTTTTTATTTTTCTTTAGAAAGTTGAGCTTTTTATTTATCTAAAAAGGTGAACTTCTGTTACTAAAGTAAGGACCTGGACCTGGACCTGGAATGACACTGTTAATTGTGTTTACACTCAACACTTGCTTATATTTTCTGGCCTTTAGAAGATATAGAGAATGCTGTATTTTAAGAGGTAGTTGTGAACCCTCAGGTATTGGCCTGGTGGCAATTGACTTGAGCCTTGGGGTTTGCTCCCTTTCAAGTTCTCAAGTTCTAAACCCACTGGGTGCAAACAATTTCTGAGGGCCATCGGACTGGGTAAAACCTGAATTAACCGTGGTGCACTTGCGGGAAACTCCTTGCCGAGGGCCTGTGCACCCCCGGGAATAGTCGGGGCTCTTAGAGACTCGGACACCCGGTGCAAATCAAAAAAGAAATAAAAAAAAAAGAGGTAGTTGTGCAATTTCACAAATTTAGTATCTTGGAGGTGTTAGTCATGTTTGAATTAGCATTACACGTTGGCATCTAGTGGCTAATTTCCCCCTGTTTCACCAATTATTTGAATAATCTAAATTGTGGATCCATGTGGAAATGCCTTCTTCCTTCCCCTCCAATTTTTCAAGGACTAGTTAAGTTTGTCTCAGAGTTGACACTTATCTCCATCTACGTGCTGCATAGCTTTCCCCTTTTACCACTCGGTTGCATGCTTATGATCCATAGCACAGACCCTTTGAAACAGATTCTCACCATGTCACGACTCCTCAAAAAGAATCTACATACTGAATCAGAGGAACTGATAGATTTGATAGCATCCCTCTAAGAAGAGGAGGGACATACTTTTGCTTTTGATCTGTAAATGCTTTTCCCTGCACTCTTGATGCTATTTTATCAATACAATTACCAGTCATGAAAAAGAAAACTTCCCAAAGAATCTATTATCCACGTTTGTGTTGGATGGCTAACTCATTTCCGAAGATAGCATTACGCTTTATTCACTTATATTTGCCGTATTGTCCTTGCTTCAGCCTTCACCATTCATATATATAATGTAAGCAATGTCTTCTCACTGGTAGGTTCATCCATGTGGACAATACCGCAAGAATACGGTCGTTGGTATACTACAAGCTGAGTATGGCTTGGCACCTTTGTTTCGTATCCTCTGTTCCCTAACGGCAGTAGGGCATAACTCTTTGTTTTGTCACTCTTTAATGGGATCATGTACATTTCACAAGGCACATTAAATATAGCATTTGTTGTAGTCTTCTCTTGACTCTTATTTTAGCGGTTCATCGCCTAGATCGCTTAGTCTCAGGACTACTTATCTTGGCTAGAAGTGCTTCTAGGGCTGACCTCTTCAGGCAACAGGTATATTTTCTGTTTATTATAATTGCAATGAACTGCAAAATGACATAAATTATAAAAATAATAGATTTTGAATGCATTATTGCTGTCTAACCGCACCTATTTCTCCTTATTCTTTGTCAATATCGATAGTTTAGCGGTATGAGATGAATAAGTTCCAAATATAACTAGATTTAGTTAGACTCCAGCAGCTTTGTGTTCAGTTGCTTGTGAGGAGGTGTTAAAATGGTTCTTGTCAAATTCTTTGAAACTGATTGTTGACACATACGATATTCTTATTAAATGCCTGATCTTACAATCTTACTTTGTGCTCCAGGATTTCAAATTAAGGGATTTTCTTTCAAGTTTTAATGAATAGAGAGCATATTGCTGTACTATTCTCAATGTGGCGTTTGAAACCTAACTAATCTAACTCAGATTTCTAATTTTGCTATCTGTGTCCAGAAGGCTCTTATTGAACTAATTTAATTCTTGTTGATAAATACTGTATGCTCTTCTAAATATCTCTTCAATAAGAGGTAGAATATCTTCCAATTAATGTTGGTTTTAGTACATGAGGATTATTGTCTACTTCCTAAAATTCTACAACAGACGTTCTTGAAGATCATTTTTTTATATCTTGGCGTCAAAATCTGAGCTCATGCAACAACTGGTCAACAACTGGTGCATATTGATGCATAGAGTTGAAAATACAAGGTTCTTATTGTGTTGAAGTTAGCTTCATCAGAAGTTTCTTGGTCCATACATATATTATGGAGACTATTTCCACAGCTATACAGTATACATTTAATTGAGCATATGACTCTGTGAGGTTTAAGTGCACTTTTGAGTTACTTGTAGGAACCCTCTCCTGTTCTTCTTCTTATTTGCTTCAGCTGCTAAGCTTTGCTGCACTTCTGCTAGTAGAATCTGTTCAGGTGAAAGTTAACTCAATTTCAGAATTTTGGCCATGATAATTGGGCGACCTACATTCCTTGCAGTCAGTTGCAAAAACTCATCCAGATAAATGTCTTACAGTTCTTAGAACATTTTCCTTAACCTAGAGCAGCTCCAATTTTCCTCTTCTGCTCTGACTTTTCAGAAGAGTATCCATTGAGTTCTTCATTCACTGCTAAATTGATCTTTTACATGGTTGGCGTGGAAGACTGTAAGCACATGCGAAGTCAAACCAATGTATTTCAGACTCAAGAGGTCCATACTTTCCACCCAGTAAAGTGTAAACTAATCTTTTGAACTGCTGAATAAATAACTCTGGTTTTCTTTGATTCCATCCTTCAATTCCGTCTATTGTTAACTGAACAGGTGTTTCTAAACCCTTATTAAGTACACTAACTGGGTTTTTCAGATAGAATCAGGAGCAGTGCAGAAACAGTATATTGCGAGAGTGATCGGAGTGTTCCCTGACAAGCAGGTACCTTTCATCTTGCCATTCATTCCCCTTTCGGCAGCATCCCCTCTTTAACTCTACTCTCCTTCACAATTACTACGTTTTTGCTTTTTTGACTTGTCTTTTCTCCTTGCTTTTTCCTTAGCAAGTTGTGAATGCTAATGTCAATTACAATGCCCGAGAAGGGAGAAGCACAGTTGAGGTAAGGTGTTTTCTTGAAGCGTGTACATCATTAGTACCTGTTCTCCCCTCTTTCTAGTAAATTTGCTCTTTTAGCTTTTGTCTCTTGTTTATAAGATTTAGCTCAGCTTATGATGTTGGTTGATTCAGCTCTTGCATAGAACATGACTTGCATTATAGTATTTGAACCAGTACAAACATAATATTCACCAATCTGGAGGGAAAGCTGTAGGACTGGAAGCTTCCTTTTGCGCTGCAGAATGCTTGAGTCTTGCACAAATGATGGAGTGACGATAAACAACTATTTCTCATTCAGTATTCTACTTATTTCTACATTTAAAAACAAATGCGATACTGATCCTTAAAAGAGAAGTTACACGTAAGCCCCTGCCTCTTCCCCATGTCCCAACTTCCCATTTGGTGGCTACAGATTGGGCAGAAAGATGAGAGGATTTTAGTACCTGAAAGGTTGTAAGAGAACATATTGTTTCTGCGTTATAGAGCTTTGGTTCAACATTTTTGTTGATAGAAATCGTGCAAAGTAGTCAAATTTTCTTTTCGCAGTAACACAACATAAATGACTGCAACTTTCCTGTATCTGAGCTAGTTCCCAGGAAACTAAAAGATTTGTTTCTCCCCCTATATTTTCCATTCTTAAAATTCAGAATTATTAGCCTGTCACTAATCGATATGACACCAATTTTATTTATTCACAATATTAACCTGCCTAATTTGGTTATTCTTACACGTCACTCACTATCTACTCCTTGCCTCCCTCATATCTCTGCAGTGTCAGAACTCGTGCTCTCTGAAAACTCTTTTGCCGTAATTTGCTAATCTTTTTGAATCTTCCCCCTCAACCGTTCTTCTTTCTTCTTTCATTCTAACCCATCACTTATCAATTGTAACTTGATGCTATCTCTTGGAGTGGATGAAGTGTAACCATGTGCTGACAACAATTGGGCGACACAATATAGGCTTTTTGCTAATTCTTGAGGGTATGGCAACTCTTTGTATTTGTAAAGTAATTTTCCCAAATTGTTTTACTTCCCTTTTTCACCTAGAGGAATTATAGTAGAATATTGGAGGTCTTTTGCTACAAAGTCAAGGAAAATAAAAAGTTGAGAACCAGAACAACGTTTGACCGCCAAAAGTGCGTTGAGAAATGTGTTGTTTACTTTTTCATTGAGTGAGGAGATTATGTTCCAAGGTATCCACCTGCGGAGATCAAAATATCAATGCAGGGCTGGCTGTAAAAGCACAATTGATTGACTTATCTATTGTTTGTAATTTTGTAGCTGAATAACATTGATTTGCATTGTGTTTTGCGCTTAGAAAATACACAGTGTTATGAGTGGGTTTCTGTTTCTTGTTTGATATTATTTGTCATGCTTGTAATCTTGGGCTAATCGTTCTAGTAGGTGGGGGATGACCAGGGAAATAGTACTGCTTCACTGAAGGGAAAGACTGCATGTACCAAATTTACAAGGATTAGTACCAACGAGAAGCACAGCATTGTTTTGTGCGAACCCGTCACCGGCAGGACACATCAGGTATGTAGAATGTGATTGATAATTTTCTCGTATTGTTTATGTCTCTTTATACCCACGCTTCCCCCAATTAATACAAAAGAGAAACCTTTCTGCATTTTGTTGAATCATCTGTTGCTTTTTATTTATATTTTTGTGACTTGAATATCTTTTTTGCTTGAGTACCATCTCTGTTTATCATTCTAGCTCTTAAGTTTATCTGTTTTTGTCATAATCCATAATGAGAGTAGAATAGATTCATTTGTTGTTAAATTGCATCTTCAAATTATTTATGCCTTTAAAATAAGATACCTTTTGTCCTCGATTTTAATAGGCCTTTTCTTTAAATTTTCTCTGGTTGAGGCATTTCTATTGAATGTGGTTTCTGAATTTTTTATTCTTGTTGGTTAGAACAGTGGCATTGCTACCAAAATTCTCTCCTCAAGTATAATTAGCTTGATATACCTAACAAAATTTGCTTCAAAACAGATACGTGTGCATCTGCAATATACAGGTCATCCTATAGCCAATGATATGCTCTACCTGTCTGAACTCGTGTCTAGTCGTTCTGCTGAAGGATCGAGTGCGGATAGAGCTGCAGCTAAATCATGTTCTCCTCCAGAGCCCATCTCTCTTGAAAATGGCATTAGTGACACGGCAAATGACTCCAATGAAGATTTCAGCATTGATCCTATGTGTACAAATTGTCCAAATCTTGCTCCGAAAGGGTAAGGATGGTCTCTGTATTGCATAATTCATGATGGATCGATTCTGGAGTGCATGTCCAACCTTGTAGTTACTGTCCATACATGTCTATGGTTGAGGGCTATGGCGACCCTTAAATTTTGCCAAGTACTGTTGTAACATAGCAATTTGCTTAAGGAGAGGTATTTCGAGGGTGCAGTCATTGAAAGTTTTTTCTAACCATAAACACCTTTATGTCTAACAGTCAAGAGATCTCTCCTTCTTAAGCTATATCCAGGTTTACTACTTAAGCCAATTGTTTCTCGGTGAGCATAGACCTATGAGGCTCATCCAAAATAATGGATTTCTTGTATCCGGATTCCCAAAACCAATAATATTTCCGGATTCACAAAACAACTAATATTCCAATTTTTAGTTTGCATTTAAGAAATTTCAATTTCCTGGCTAACACAAAATCTGGGTACCATCCACTCTGTATTTAGAAAACACACGGCAATGTAAGCTTCCTTTGTTTCAATGGTTCAAGGTCATTTGGCACCGGGAAATATTGAATGGCTGACATTCTTAACATTACTAGTGCGCTTTAGCCTAAATTTACTGAACTTTTTCTTGGTAGAGCTTCTTTGTTTGCTCATTTAAGATCTTGTGTTCTTTTATGACTAAATGGTTGGTAAGCTTGTGCACAACCCCTCGGTTTAGGTTTTGAGGCCTAGACTATGAATGTGTGGCTAGTTTCATCTGGTTGTTTTTCTAGTTGAAAAAAGTACCATATGTGACCTTGCTCTTGGTTTTAGAAGCCTTTCTCATTTCTGGCTTGATTAATGCCCTTTATAATTTCAAAATGCAGGTATGAGGGAAATGAAGAGGGTCTATGGCTGCATTGTGTAAAATATTCAGGACCTGACTGGATATATGAATGTCCACTTCCAGATTGGGCATCCCTAAGTTGATATGCTCTTTCAACATTCATTATACGTCTGATTTCAGAACTGTATTATGCTCTTGGTTCTCCGCCTCTTGTGCTCTGTTCATTCTTGTGAATCTGGATGCATTGTGGTCCTGGTAAACTTCTGGAGTTATGCGAATGTGATTGGGGAGACACCCATACGGTGTTTATGGTCTTCGTATGGTGCACGGTCTACCTTGAATTTGGATTTATGGGAGGTTAGCTTTGGAGACCTTTCGAGCTCAACTGGTTTATGAACAAGTGTTTTGCAGCAATTGTTCCAGAAACAATTTGGGAAGTCGTCTGTGTTTGGCGGAGGTGATTTTGTTTCACCATCTTAATATTGGATTACTGAGAATCTACACCCTTCATTTGTAAACCAGCAGTACGGAACCATCGGCAATTAATAGATGCCTGGTTCTCTGTTGCAAAATTGCATTATCTGGAAATTGTTTGACAAAAAAATATAGACCTTGGTTTAGCTAATTAAATTTATATAAATGAGGGTTAATTTTAGTTACCAATAATATTCCTAAGATGAAATTCTCAGAAGTGTAAGAAATAATATGTAAAGATAGTACGCTAGCAACGGCGGTACACAATCAATATTTAAGAAGTCAAAGGGAGTAGTGTAGCATTAAATAGTGATGAATAGAAGTAAATGAAACTTATGTAAATAGAATAAATGAGTCACCCAAGAAAGGATGAAATTAGTGAATGTTCTTTCTGGCGATGATGAGTGATGGATAAGCCTTCGAATATTTGAGTTATTCTTGGAACCGGTGGAGAAGTGTAGACAAGAATCTTAGTGAAAAAGGTTGTGTTTGTATGCTTGCAATAAGATCCGATTCCCTTTTTCAAGTCAAAACATATTTTACAAATGAATATCACCTGTCCTCTATCTTTCTATTTATAGGGAGCATGTTCCTTAAAACCCTAACTGTACAAGTGTTGAGAATATTCTCTTTTATGTCCTATCTTGAAACTAACCGTTATAACTCTGTCAAGGGTGCTCGACCTCGGCCTTGATCCTTGATGACTCCTCAGCTTTAACCCTTGCTGACTCTTTGACCACGAACTTTATCGTTTCTTAGATCACTTCGACAAGCGATAGCTGGAACGTTCCACCAATACAATTTTTACTTAAGTATTCTAAAGATAGATTTTGACCCATACAATTAGTCCCTCCGCTTATTGAGGCTGGCTTTGCGGACGTGTTCGATGAGCGGATTGTGTTGTTGGTGGTCGAGCTAATCAAGCGGACTACTTAGGTCGTGGTTGTTGCAGTGAGCACGTAACGTGGTCCTCTGTGGGCCGCACATTTCAAATGCTTCGAATTTCCGGGGGATTTGTTGGAGTTATGCTGTTCACGAGTTAGAATGACGTCATGATGTCATGCGTCATTATACGCATATTCCCGATGCGTCGTTTTGTTTCGCGCTTGACCTTTGATTAGACTTGCCGGTTCGGTTTCGGTGCCAATCATGATGAGCCGTTTTTGGTTCCAGTGCCATGACCTTTATGAATAGAGGTCTTTGAACACGACTTTGGAGTTTAAATCTTCTAAAGCTTCAAGATCTCATACCTTCCTCTTGCTCTCCTCTTCTCCGAATTTCTCTTCTCTGTTTCAGCGACTTACATTGCTCTTCATTCCCCCTTGTTTGTTATTCTCCTTCCTTACATTGAATCATATCTAACATACCTTCTGAGGCTGGAGAGGGGAGTCGTGTTGCTCCTTTGGCAATGGTGTTCCCCTCTCATGGGGAGAGCGTTCCTGCCACCATTGAGGACGAAGCCTTCCAATTGGTGGAAGAGATAATCCCACGCAACTCTGATTCCCGGTCCGATTTCACCAAATCACCAGAGGCCGCACTTGGAGTTTTTTTGTCACGACCTAATTTTCCCTATAGGCCGTGATGGCGCCCAACGCTTCTGCGAAAAGAATCTCGCACCTGCGGATGCGCACTTGCGCCAGGCTCCCGCACCTACGAACCCAGGCCTGGCTGGCCACTTTCGCTTCTGCGAGCAAGGCGCTTCACCTGCGGTGCCGCTCCTGCGGCCATTCCCACCGCAGGTGCGAACGCACAAGATGCCAGCCACCTTCAGCTCTTCTCTAAAGTGCAATCAAGCTATGTCGACCCTCCGAATCCTACACGGCCCCCCGAGCCTCGACCAAACACACCAACAAGTTCGTAAACATAAAATGGACTCGCTCAAACCCTCGGAACACATAAAACAACATAAAAACTAAGAATTGCACCCCAAAACCAAATCGAATCAACTTATGAACTTAAAGTTTTTTCCAGCTTACTCGAACGTGCCGATCATACTTAGACTACTCGGAATGACATGCAAATTTTGCGTGCAAGTCATAAAACACCATACAAAACTATTTTCAGGCTTGGAATCCCAAATGGACCTCGATAACACCAGAGCCTACTCCAAACCAAACTTAAAGAACTTGAAAACCTTCAATGCGCCTACTTTCAATATTAAGCACTAAAACGCTCCCGGGTCATCCGAAACCCGATCCAAACGTACGCCCAAGTCCAAAATCACCATAAGAACCTATTGGGACTGTCAAATCCCTGTTCCGAGGTCGTTTACTCAAAATGTTGACTCAAGTCATACTTAACCTTTATAAGCTACTATTAAGGAACTAAGTGTTCCGATTTCAACCCGAACCAACCATCCCCGTACGTCATAAAATAGTAAAAGAATATACGAGGAGTCTTAATTAGGGAAACATGGATCTAGAAAACAAAGTGACCAGTTGAGTCATTACATTTTCGATCAGTGATGATAGTCAAGGAATTATCGGAGTTTAAGGCCAAATTCGGCCTTCCCAATCATATTGAGTTGATCCCGGCCGAGTGGGATATGGTACAGGTCCACTGTCCTAGGTATTGTGCCCTCTACGCCTACCCCTTCCAAGTCGGCTATTATTTTCCCCTTTTTCTGCTGGTGGAAGAGTTTTGTCATCACTACAACGTTTGTCCTGCTCAGCTCGCGCCGTACGTCTATAAAGCTATAAAGATGCTCACTAAGTTTGCTGTGCTAGCCGGGGTCGAACTGGCACTGCGGTACCTAATTCATCTATTCGCTACTAACTTTTATAGGGGAACGATGGTGAACCTTCGTCACCAAGGGGGTGAAGATGGACGACAAGGCCAGTCGTAAATTCCGGTTTAACTTCTTTTTTATTAGAACTGAGGACGTTGTGGCCAATGTCGACGACTTTCCTGAGGTTTGTAACTATACTCGTAAGTACTTTGGTTTCTCCTCCATGTTCGACACTGAATTTTGACTTCTCGCCTTCTTCTTTTGCAACCAAGACTTCATCTTCTCCTTTGGATGCTCACATTTCTGACTGGGTCGAGTAGCTCCTCCCTCACATCGGAGGGATTCGTGAATGGCCAAGTTTTTTCAAGAAATTCGGGCCTGCTCTCCCTTCGACTGGTAACTTTCTTTTTACTATCAGCATCTTGATTTCTTTGCACGTTTTTCTTTACTGATTTTTCCTTTTCCCATTTTCCCTTAGCTTCGGCCATGGGGTCTATAAGGAGGTTTAGAGCTACGACGCCCTCGTTCTGGAAGAAGAAGGCTACTACGCCCTCAGTTTCTGCTCCTGTTTCGACTGCGGCTGATCCTATCTTTGTCCCAACTCCTCCTGTTTCCGCGTTCGACTCTATTTCTACTTCATCCGTGGAGACTTTTCCTCTTCCTCTGTATTCTCTCACTAACGAGAACGATGAGCCTTTGCCTAGTGATGGAGATCTCCAACCTCGAAAGAGGAGGTCCGTGGATGCTGGTAAAGGAGTCTCCCGATATAGCAGAAAGGGACTTTAAGCTGCGTGAGACGGCGACTATTGTAGTGGAAGATGATGTCGAGCCGAGTTCCGATGCTCCGAGGTTGGTAGGAGCCGATGTGGATGTGTCTATTCCTTCTGTGGTGATGGAGACTGAAGGGACGACTGCTGATGTTCTTGACACTTCGTGGCGAGAGGAGGCATCGACCTCTCGATTAGCTGCAGATACCTCCTTGCCGGTCAATGAGAGGGGCATAAGCATCGTTGAGGAGGCGATAAATCAGGTTCCGAAATTGATGCGAATGACCTGAGGATGATAGAAGAAGGGCTTACCCAGTTTGAGGTGAGGTTGGAGCGGTCTACGAGGACTATCACGATCCCCATAGATCTTGACTTGTAGGTGAACACCGAGGAGGTAGTCCCTGCCCTCGGCCCTCTCTATTTCAAAATAGAAGGTGAGACCTTCAAAGAGATAGACGATAGTGCTTTGTTAAGGAGCATTGAAGGCCTTTCTCTTAGGGCGAGTGTTTGTGTTTCAACCTCTCTTTTTCTTTTGTTTTATAGGGCGTTCTTGGTTCTGACTTCTTTCTTCTCTTTCCTTTTTATGATTGCAGACAATGATCTTGGAGATCGAGAGCGCCTGGAGGGAGAAGAGTCATAAAGATATCTTTTAAAGCTGAAGGATAAGTACTTTAAGTATCGTGGCAAGTATCGAGATCTCCGCAGGCGGTTTCGTGAGGGTGGCAACATGCAGGCCCTTCGAGACGAGTTTAAAGAGAAGGATGATGAGCTGGTGTAGGCCATCGAGAAGTGTAGCATCCTCGAGGGACGTTAATGAGCAGGGAAGAGGAGCTAGAGGTCAGCAGGGGCATAAAGGACCAATGTAGTGACCTTCAAGCTCAAGTGATCGAGTTGCGAGGGCAGTTAGAAGAGTGCCGACTTCAGCTGGAGGCCCTCAATAGTGAGATCGCCGAGAAGAAAAAGGAACTCGAGAAGGCGGAGTCCTCTCATTTGGATGCTGGGAGGAAGATGAAGATGCTTGAGTTGGCGAATAGGACTCTCCGAACCGAGCAGGAGAATGATCAGTCAACAACGAGAACTAAGGAAGATCGACTCGAGGAGAGGATCAGAGAGCTGGAGAAAGATAACTCTGTTCTTCATGATCGAGTGGTTGCTTTGGAGGCTGAGAATGCTCAATTACTCGCTCAGCCGTCCTCTGCCCGTATTTCAGATTTTCCCAATGTACCTCGGGAGTTATATGAAGAATGGATTCATGCGAAGGCCGAGTTAGTGTATTTCGAGATTTGCATGCGGCGGGGTCCGTTTTTGAGGCTGCCCTTGAATATGCTCGTGTTAAGGCCTGTGAAGCTTGTGGATATGATCCTGCTACGCCTGAGGCCGATGAGGAGGATTGGGACGAGGGTGTAGATTGGCTTGAGGAGAATGCATGGTATGATACCACTAATCCTCAGGGCGAAGGTATCGATGGCGAAGGGGATCGAGATGGTGAGGGTATTAGTGGTCAGGATGATGACTCTGTTAAAGACCGAGCTGGTGAAGTCACCGAAGGCCGTGATGACGGCAGCCAGTAGTTTTTTTGTTGAATTTTTTGAGTATTTTTGTCGGCGTCTTCACGAGCCTCTGTAAACAGTTTATGTATGAAATATTAAATTTGTTCCTTGCATCTTCTTTTGTTTCTGTGGTTTA